GTCACATGGGTGGCAAGCCACTCCCACAAAGGAGGCCACACCCACAGCGTAGGTTCCAACAATTTTGAAACCCACCACTGATCCCAATGTAATCAAAGTTCATGCAAGATGTTTTCATAAAGGTCAGTCCAAGTATAGTTGGTATGCGGCTCCCTCCTTTCAGCTGGGTAACCTTGAGGCAGTCTCTCAAGAAAGTACAGCATCTACTTTCTATTTCCCAAGCATTCCCCCACTTCATTCCCCTTCGCCACAGTTCATGGCAGTCTGTCAGCGCCTAGCAGTGAAACCCAGCAAGCATAGGGTGGCAGCTGACAGATTAAAAAGAACAGGAGCATTCCTTGTTCCGGGGTTCTATTATAAATATAGGATTTTGAAGCTTGATGAAAGCAAGTATCACAACAATTATCAATAATGGGCAGGATAAAAATAGCATGAATTAGGTTGTTTTTTTTAATTTGACAAATTAGGATTAGCTTTTGTGATGGATTCCTATCCATGTGACGCTGAAGACAACAAAGCCAAGAAAAATAATAATCAACATGCGCATTGTGCAAAAGGGCAAAAGCACTCATGAGACAAAAGGCATGGATGCAGTTGCAAGACAGGATTGATGCAATAGGATTGGTGGATAGCTGTGTTAGCAATCTGGATTAAATAAAAATTTCAATTTAAATTGGGGAGTCAACTGCTTCACCTCCGAAAAACCTACCATGTTTCCCCGAAAATAAGACAGGATCTTATTTTCTTTTGACTCTCAATTTTCGGGGGGGGGAGGGGGTCCTTATTATTTTTGAGGTGCAGGAGGCAGTGACCGTGGTCACCTCATGGCTGCTGCTGTGTTGTAATATTTTCGGGGAGGGCTTATTTTAGCGCATGCGCTCAAAAGCCCAATTGGGCTTATTATCGGGGGGGAGGTCTTTTTTTCAGGAAATTGAATTGAATTTGAATTTATTTCATTTATATGCCGCCCTTTTCCCCGAAGGGGACTCAATCCAAGTCAAGGGAAAGGGTACAAATAAAGAATAAAAAAGACGAACAAAACAATACACAATTTAAAAAGCACACAACAACCATACCATTCGAGGGAGGGGGCAAAAGCTCTTTAGCCCCAGACCTGTCGGAATAGCCAGGTTTTAAGGGTTTTGTGGAAGGCCTGGAGGTTGGTGAGGGTTCGAATATCCACGGGGAGCTCATTCCAGAG